TCAGGATTGTTCTCCACTTGTCGAAACTAACGAACCTTACCTGTATTACTGTTTATTTTTTCAGGAATACCAGTTGAATATGTCATATCCAAGCGTGGTAACAAAATGGTATTGCTAGATGGTTATACGTTTACACTTCAGAAAGATACTAATACTCGTACATCGAAAAAAAGATGGTGGTGCTCAAATCGAGTGGCACACCGTTGTAAAGCAAGATTATTCACTATAGAAGATAAAATAGTATATGTTTATAAAGAACACACGCATTAATTATCTTGAAATTGTTTTTAGTACTAAAATAAGAGGTGCAATCTAAGAATTGCAGTCCGTTTCTTATTAGGCAGTCAGTAGGAGGAATGCAATTGTAACATACAGCAGACTTAACTATTCGAAATAACTAGTACCAAGACTGATTCGGATAATCTTAAATTCAAATGTGGGTTTATTTAGGACAACATAAAATGACCCAATGCAATAGTTAAGCAAAGTCAATTAGTAGTAGTACAGAATTATTCAAATCTCTATCTAGGTATAACATAATATATACATTGCTGTTTTTGAGAATTCACTCAGAGAACAACAAAATATGTCTACACTCTCGGATATTTTATTTAGGGTTTGTAATGCGAGTGTCAGCGGACATTTTTTCAAGATGTCTGTTCTACCGTACGGTACTGCCAGTAACGGCGGTCGACGACGGCGTTCTATATATCTATTAGGAACTCTAAAACCAAACAAGCCTAGCACCTTTGGATTATGTATTTTACCTCTTAATACTTTTAATAAGTACACTGCTAATGCAAGGTTCCTTCGCACATGTAATTCATTGTATCCCACCATTCCTAAAATGAAGAGTGTAGGATACATTAGGGGATAAAAAGGATACACTCCGTATTGCCTAAAGTATAAATACCTAACAAACTTATTCTGTATGTGCTCTAACATGTCGCTATATTGAATTTGGTGCGGACTCCAAATCATTGCATTAAATTCGAGCTGACTTCGTACCAAGGCATTATATAACGTGATAATTGCTTTCATGCTCGTAAACCCCTGGCATCTACGTAAGATTAACCCCAAATTTCGGTATGCTTTTTTACAAATACTGATTATGTGCTCTCTAAATGACAGTTCCGTATTAAATAATACCCCGAGATCTTTTACTTCTGTTACTCTTTTCATTGGTACCATATCAATTTTATATTGAAATTGTAAAGGTTTACGAGCTTTTGTAAATGAAATTGTTTGACATTTAGAAATATTAAATTGAAGTTTATTGTTTTTACACCAATCTACTACTTTATCTATATCGCTTTGAAGTTTCAAGCAGTCCCTTTCCTCTTTTACCGAAATATATAATTTTAGATCATCTGCAAATAATAAACAATTTGAATTCGTAACGACATTGGGCAAATCATTAATCATAATAATAAATTCAAGTGGTCCGAGATTACTCCCTTGGCTTACTCCTGATCTAACAAAATATGGCTGTGATTGATGACCGGCAAATTCAACATATTGTTGTCGATCCTCCATGTAGCTAGCTAAGAATTTCAATAAATGGGGAGAGCAACCAACGCTAGCCAACTTCTTAAGCAAGACATCATTATCCACCAGATCAAAGGCTTTACGAAAGTCAAAATATGCGGCATCTACCTGTCCTCGACTGTCATCAACTACCGGTAAAATATCGGTCATATAATTTAATAAGTTACTTGTGGTACTCCGACCCGGACGGAACCCATGCTGTGCCTCTGACAGTTGTGCACTCACTTGTTCAAATATATTTCTTTGTAATATTGCTTCGAAAGCCTTTGCTGGTGCTGATAATACAGCTACTGGCCTATACTCGTCTATAGATGACCTAGATTTGCTTTTAGGAATAGGAACCACCCGAGTAACCTTCCACATATCTGGAAAAATACCTACCTCCAAGCATTTATTATAAATAAATAGCAAAGGCTGGGCAAGTACTCCGCGACAGTCTTTCAGTATATAAGCCGGAATACCATCAGGACCCGCGGATTTTTTTGGCTTGAGTTTTGCAAGTGATCTTTCTACCTCGGATAGTTGTAATCTTCCAATATGTACTCTCGCCGATCCATTGATACTGCCAGCGTCTATTATTGCCCTATTTATATCTAGTTGAGCCCGTTCCCTACTGTACACCGAATGAAAATAATTTGCAAATTCCATAACACATTCTTTCTCTGATAAAACCACCCCATTCTTAATAATATTTTGAGAACTACGGCTACCCTTATGCGATCGGATATAATTCCAAAAAGACGTGGGGTCATCCACTAAATGTTTCTGTACACTAATGTTATATATCTCTTGAGCTCGTGCTATCATATTTTTAACTCGCGATCTACTTAATGAAAATTCGTTATAGTCTATACGTGACTTACTGGCTTTATAACGTTTGTGAAGACTGGCCTTTATTTTTATTTCTCGAATAAGATCAGCAGTATACCAAATAGGGTATTTGTATTTTGACTTATGACTTAATTTCTTTTTAGACGGAACACATTCGTTGAAGATACTATTAATCTTGTTATAAAAAAGCAGTAATATATCTCCCAAGTCACTTAACTCATACAACGGTCTCCAATCGCAAGACCCAACTAAATAATACAATAACGGGTAGTTTGCTTTATTAAAGTTCCATCGCGGGTGGGAACTCTGTGTATCATCTCGTTTTATTGCCTTTTTCGCGCCCTGTTCGTTTACTAAAGAAACCGATAATTCAAGTGTTGGATGATACGCATCTACAACTGGTACTAATGATTCATCCGAGGCGCTCACACTAACATCCCCGCCCAATGTAGTCAGTACCAAGTCTAATTGACAGTCTTTACAATTAGTTATGTTATTTCTCTGAGTAAATCCACAATATGACTCAGAAAACTTAAAGTAATTTCGAATTACCTGCGGACACGAGTTCAAATTAAAATCGCCTATAACTATTATTTCATTATATAAAACAGATATATTTTCCATTATTTTAAATAACAACATATATTCATTTTCTTTGCTAGACGGTGGTATATAGACAACACAACATAGAAACAAAAATCTGTCACGTAGGTACACTTTTACGCAAACGCACTCAAAAACCTGATTGTTAATATTTACGCCGCCCGGTGTGGGTACGCTCCGCAGCTCGAACCGTGGTGTGGCCACTAAAAACGCGCCACCCTGCTTTCGCCCATCCGTCCGGTCGCACCGTATAATTTTATACCCCGGTGGAACCAGTTCTGCGTCGTGAATGGAATCATTACATCCCGTTTCCGTTACTGCAAATAAATCAGCACCCGAGGACACAATCCTCGAACGAAACTCATCCAATTTCGTTCGAAGACCCCGCACGTTTTGATACAGAACTTGAAATGATTTTTTCTTATGTCTTGTTTTTGTTGTTGATTGACTTCCGAAACCAAATCCACTCGCAGAATTCTATATTTACAAGTCGGGCTGTACAGATAAAATTAATCAGTGTGTATCGTAAAAATAATAATGTTAAAAATTGTAATTCATAAAGTGTGTACATAGTGCTTGTGCGCGCGTTAGTTGACTCCTGTTTCTTGCCCCTTAACTTTACTCAGTGCTGAATTATAATTGAGGATATAAACGGAAGAATAATAAATGTACTATCTATTTATTTTTTTTACTTTTATTCGTGTATTCTATTCCATGAGTATCCGGTTTATGAGTGATGAGTAAATTTATTTATAAAGTAAAAATTGTGTAATAATTATGAAGTTTAAGATGTACTTTGATTGCAGTTATAACTGATAAAAAACTTTTTATTTAGACATGCGGCAGCTGGAGACGCACCAATTATGTATTTGATCTTTTTACTATTGGCTTGATTATTAAATGCCCCTTAGTTTGTTTATAATCAAATATAGCCTGTATGTGAAAATTATCAAAGAAAAATTTTGAGCTTGAATTTTGGATTTTAGTCAAATATTTAGTTAAGCTAAATTCTGGATTTTTAAACAGAACGCAACAACGATATATTTTTTTTTTATATAAATTGTGTCTATCATTTCGCTGATGACGAATATTCTTAATTCAATTTAGCTATCATTTCATATCTATTTACAATTGTTGAAATTACTAGTAGAGGATGTATATTTCAAGTATTACTTATAATATAAAGTTTCAATAAAGGTTTCAATAAATATGCTCAATTACAAATACAGCTCTGATTTTCTTGCTGAAATTATAGACTATGCATATTGTTTCCACCAGAAATATGATTTAAATGATGTGATTAATGTGTGTGAAGTGATATAATGTGATGAAGTGATTAAATATAAAAAAAAATTAAAACAGTTATTTACTTACAGATTTGCAACCTGTTTTTTCTAAATCATCACACGGAAATCCGATAATTATTTTGGACGGTTATAAGTTCAGACTGAAACGAGATTCACGCGTGAAAAGTGCTAATAAGCGTTGGGTCTGTTCGACTATGAAGAATGGTTGTAAAGCTAAACTTATGACTTTGAAAGATGTAGTGGTCACATATGATCACGTTCATAATCATCCAAGACCCAAAGGCAGATCTTCTAAGAAAGTAAAAGCTAGAAAAAAATATTCTGACGACTCAGACGATGATTAGGTCTTATTTTTATATCTTTATATAGTCTTGTTAAAGAAGCACAGTTCTCAGAACAGCATGTTTTCTTCAACATATTAAAATTTATATTGAAATATTTGACACTTTTTTTTGTTCTGCAATACAAACTTTCAAACCGCCATTAAAAATTTAATAAGAAAGATACAAACATACTATCTTGTTTATTATATATATATTTGTTTATATGACATTTAATAAAATGTTGTCCCACATCACTGTTTTGATGATGAGGAAAAAAATATATATCAAAATTAAAATTGACTGTTTCTAAACAGATTTCAGGTGCTATGAACGATTTATGACTTCGAAAGGAAATATTGTGATGTGCGTCGAGGGTTATCGCTTTTCCATGGTAAAAGAGAAGAGAAGTCGAAACGGGAAAATAAGGTGGAGGTGTTCCACCCATAGAAGCATGGGATGCAACGCTCTCATGCACACCATTGGTGATCATATTGTCTACTTAAGGAATCATCACTCTCATTCGCGTACTCGAGAATTATTAAAAAATAGCATTAGAGTATATAAAATTTGTTCATTGGACCAGAAGTAGATTTAAGACTTGACTAATTTATTATACGACATTTCAAATTCTCGAAGAATTCGATAATGATTGTATCATATATTTTATAACTATTTAAATAAATTGTTTCTTCTGTAGACCTACAGTATTTTCTGTTAAAATAAAAAATATTAAAAAAAGTATTTAAATTTTTACATTTGATCGATTTTGCATTCAAAATGCTTTACTGTTAAATATCTCTGACTAAAAATGCTTAAAAACCGCGTAGACGAATTTTTCAAGTACCTACTGCCGATTAGCTGCTCGTATTTATAGTGAGCGTATTTCAGGCAATCCAGTTGTATGGCGGCCGAAAGATTTTAAATACTTATTTTAAAATATTTAAAACTTTGTTCTAAATACCGGTAAATATTTTCAATTAATAGCGGGTTTTTAGCATTTTTCGTTAGAAAAGGATTTTATTTATCCTAATATTGAAATGCCATAAATTTTATAAATACTGATCTACATAAAATTGTTGTTCAGATTTTCCACCATACGAGATCCACCGCTCTATTCGAGGCAAGCAGATATTGTTAGTCCAGGGCTATCGCTTTTCCATAGGTGCCGAATTAAAAAGTGGAAAGAAAAGATGGCGGTGCTCAACCCACAACGGTCTTGGGTGCAACGCTTTTATGTACACACTCTATGGCAAGATCTTACGATTAAGGAACGTACACAACCACTGACGAACACAAGTCACAGGATTGGAAACGACATCTGAATGAACTTCTAGAGACTTCGTACAGTTGTACAAGTGAAATTTTTCGAATATTTTTAGATAAACTTTCCGTGTATAAGTGAATTTACATTATCGGGTATAGAAAATGTAGGTGCCTATAAAATATAAAACCTCAATAATTATTTTAAGCTGAATATAATTAAATAATGTTTTAAACTTTAATAGTCATAGTAATTTACATTACAATCTACGGGTTTCGATAAATATAAGGTAAATGGCATGGTATGGTACCGTAGATAACTTTAATTTTTATAATAAAATTGTTCATTACTTAATTTCGTATTTGTATCATATTGATGTTTCCAGGGCCTTAATCCAGTTATGTTTAATCATATACAAATCTGTGTATATAATCTACTTGAATTGCTAATAATATCGGTTTTATTTAATTGAAATTCTAATGCTGTGTTCGAAGCTATGTGTTTACATAATACTTAAACTGATCAATTACATGATTACTTGATATATTATTAAGTTCTGATGATTTTTGATTCCTCAAAATATGTCAATGACATCTGTTTCTTTTCTTCACACACAATTTTATAACCCTATGCATCTAAGAGCACAAATAATACGCTTGTATGTAGCTAGAAACGCTTGTGTCGTTGTAGCATCCGTAGATTTTTTGATGGTCGAAAACGAATAGGGCATAACTAATATCGGTTGTTTGTTTCAGGCATCCGGTACGAGTTCACTGAATCACTGAGAGGCGCTCGCATCATCCTTATCGAAGGCTACCGATTCGCCATAAAGAACATGAGCAAAGCTAACGCACCGATAAAGAAGATACAATGGAACTGTACCACTCACGGCAAGCATGGCTGCAAGGCTTCCATCTTCACATCTAGAGATGAGATCATCTATCTCGACAACAAGCACACTCATCCACCACAAACGGATAAGAAATCACAGAACAAATACTTTCTGCCGGTCTCCAAGGTGAAGATGTTCTATCGTCAACCGGATTATAAATAAATGGCGGAATATTAATACTAATTTATGAACATCCAGAAATATGATTGAAAATTTAAAAATTCTAGGTTTTAAGGTATTTGTCTTTATGATGTCGCTCTTAAAAACAATTTTTTCTTAGTAGTTTAATATATGGCTGTATATCGATGTGTCTACAATATTAATCATATAAGTAGTCGATAAGTCAAATGAGCTTCTTACTTCTGCATAGTGATGTACACATTTCATATTCTATGCTAGTTTATTCCAGTTACTAAGATGTGGTGCAGTATACAGGACAGTTTTGTTATGTTTATACTTCTTTATTTAAAGTTTTGAATTTTAATAACTGGAAATCTAGTCAATTGTCATTTAGTTTATTTTAAAGATCTTTTGACTTGCTTTAAAAGTAAAAAAAAGGGATTAAATTTGAGAAAGGTATGAATTTAATAATGGTTAAGTGAATTAAATACGCGGTGCTATTGAGTTGAAGTAGTTAAAAAGAGTTTGGATGTCATGAAATTATCTAGTCAAAATTATATGAGAGCGCAATGGTTAGGGTAGTTTAAATAAATACTGTTAAGTACGGAAACGCTCCCGTGTACCTTATTTTCATTTAATCTCCGATATTTAGGCACTCCTAACGGTTCCGAAATATCGGGGACTCGGTAAAATAGAGTACATGATAGCACTCCCCTAAATTAATATTATTCTTGTGTCAATGTCCAAGAAAGTTTAAAATATCATATTAAATACTGTAGATTTTAATTTTATTATTTTTTTATTATTAAGACATGGGTGATGACAGTTAGTTGCTAACGAAGTTACAATGGGACTCTTAACTGGAAAAATAATCTTATTATAGTATTAGCAATCATAGTATTAGTACATAATTATTAGCGCATCATGATAGGCTTTCAACATTTTAGATATGTGTCTGTATTCCAAGTGAGGTAACGATAACAGGATTCATCTTTTAAATAATTGATAGTCTGGTTCTTTTCCGATTATAAACATTATTCTCAGTGTTGTCTGGTAGATTTTATTCATTAATATTCAATTAAGCATAGTGAATATTAGCCAAAGGGAATGTTTGGTTCAAAAAGGCTGAATAATCATGTAAATAGAGTCGCGGTGTGATTCTTTTTGACTTGTGTCGATTGTGGCTGGTTTGGTATTTATGCCCGTATGAAACCTGTATGAAAATTGTGCGCAGTTTTCGCGGAATAGAGTATCGAATATATATATCTGTAAAGAAAAGGCGGGCCATAAGTGGTCATAGCTATTCACACGCTGTCATCGCATGACATGAATGCTACTACCCACTAGCTACGTCATGAACACATTGTCGCAACAGTCAACGTGTATTGCACGTCCCAATGGCGACGCCATGAGCATGCTATGCGTAGACTTTACGTAACATGCTAGGTATTATATTAATCGTATAAGTTAGTCAATAAGTAAATCAGCTTCTGACTTCTGCATATTATAAACTAATTTTATATTATATGCAAATCTATACCAATTACTAAGGGTGATACAGTATTGTGGACAGTATATTTTTGTTATGTTTCATACTTTTTTTTTTCCAATGAAAGTTTAGAATTTTAGGGACTAGAAATCTAGTCAAATATCATTTAGTGTATCGAAAGTCTTTTGACTTGTTTTAAAGTGAAAAAAAGAGATGAAAGGTTAATAATTCGAGGATAAATGAATTTGAAGTTTTGTATGTGAAATACGTGGTGCTAATGTTGAGATCAACTAATTGAAAAGTGTTTGGATGTGATAAAAATAATCAATCAAAATAAATGAAAATAAAAAATATATGAAAGTGCCACGGTTATGATAGCTTTAACTAAATATTGTTCAATTTTTATTATTTATTTTATTTTTAAGACACGGGGGATGCCATTAGTTGTAAAGTACGGTTGCAATGGAACACTAAATAATAAAAATCTTTTCTATTAATAATAAATATGTACTAGTGTACGATTCAATCATAGTATTAGCTTAATATAATCAGCGTTTTAAATCTCATTCAATATTTTAAATATGTGTCTGTATACCGAGTGCATTAGCGACAACAGTATTCATCTTTTAAATAATTAACATCTTTTTTATCTGATTATAGACGTTATTCTCAATGTTGTCAGGTAGAATTATTCATTGATATTCAATTTAGCATAGCGAATATAAGTTAAGATATGAATTGTTCGATCCACAAAAGTAGCAATACTATGTATGTAGGGTCGCCTTGTGGACGTGGTTAATTTTAAATACAGTGCATATAGTGGATACAAGGTTACGTGAAAGAGAATAGCCAATTTTCGACTTGAAGGCCAAATGATTGGACCAATATAATGATCGGGTTATGTCCACCAGGCTATTTCAGAAGACGATTACTCGTACCTATAAACAAAAAGCATGCCGGCTCTGTCGCAGAGTGGTGGCATCCAGACATGACTATATAGGTAGTAACTCAAACCGTGTCTGGAAGTCACGCTATAAAAACGTGACATGAATTCCCCGCCCTATTGGCTACGCCACGAACATACTACGTGTTGCAACAACGTGAATTTTATACCCCAATAACCACGCCATGAGCACCCTATGCGTCAACCTAACGAATATGCGGGTAATGATGGACAGAGAATTTATTCGATTAATGTAATCAATTAAATTTAATTATAAATGTCATAGTAGTTACTCCTATAATGTTTCTTAAATAATCTTAATAACACTAATAGTCATTAAATTCGTAGTGTGTGTATCTCATCGGTGTTAAGTAATAAGCTTTATTTATGATTGGCCTTTATAATGTGTTTTTATTTACTTGTTTTTACAGATCTAATTCTAATTTTATATTTACTATTTATTGTGATTTATTATAGTATGGTAACTATTTGTTAGGTTTTATCGAAAGACTTTTCACATGCTCACCGTTAAGACGTAATATCACGAACTCGAGAAAGTTTTGTCTACACCCAAATGTCACTTCACTCGGGTGCGCCATACGATGTCTCACTTTCGACCCGAGAAAAGTGTCATTTGGTGTAAACAAATCGTTTCTCGAGTTCATCATGCTACGCAAAGTTGTCGTTATTTTCAAGTGTATGTGTTTGGGTGACTGTTATTAGTTTAAGTTAAAGTGTTCTATTTATTATACAGCAAAAAAATTACGTGTATGGGTATTAATAATTTAATTCGACTTATGTTAGTTATAAATTATTATGTTATTTAATAAATGAATAATAATAAATATGCTACTTTGATTTTGATGTCCAGCTTAGTGTAGTTTCAAGCTAACCTAACCATCATATAAATAATTTTTAAATGCCAGTAGCTTAATAAAATCAAGTTTTACTGACAAATAATGATGCAAACGACATCACAAAATATGATGTAATTTTATCAATCCAATAATCAATTCAAGCTTTATCTGTTCATAAATAAAATATCTATTACAGTATCTAACTTACCCTAACTTGATGGGTTCTTCTGTATGCACACAGTTGAACTTCGCGTTACCACAATATGTTAAATTTCTGTGGTTAAATTTAAATTTCACTCTAAAACCATTAAGGTTTAAAATCGAATGGAGAAATTTTACAGATTTATATAGACTGACGTGCTGTTAAATAAAATATTAATTATCAATTGAAGAGACAATATGATAAAATTCTTAAATAAAATTTTAAGTTTTGTTAATTTTTGATTTTTTTTTATGGGATAGGGGGCAGACGAGCAGGCGGATCACCTGATGGTAAGTGATTACCGTCGCCCATGGACACCTGCAACACCAGAGGGGCTACAAGCGCGCTGCCGGCCTTAGAGGGAAGGGTTGAGGGGTAGAGGGAAGGGAATAGGGAGGGGTTAGGCCTTCAGTAACCTCACTCACACGACGAAACACAACGCAAGCGTCACGTCGGTTTTCTGTGAAGCCGTGGTATCACTCCGTTCGAGCCGGCCCATTCATGTTAATGACATTTGTTTCTTTTCTTCAAACACAATTTTGTAACCCTCTTAGATACACAAATAACACTCTTATATGTAGCTACAAACGCTTGTGTGGTTGTAACATCCGTAGATTTTTTGATGGTGGAAAAAGAATAGGGCATAACTAATATCTGGTGTTTGTTTCAGGCATCCGGTACGAGTTCACTGAATCACTGAGAGGCGCTCGCATCATCCTCATTGAAGGCTACCGATTCGCCATAAAGAATATGAGCAAAGTTAACGCACCGATAAAGAAGATACAATGGACTTGTTCCACTCATGGCAAGCATGGCTGCAAAGCTGTCGTCTTCACTTCTAGAGATGAGATCATCTTTCTCGACAACAAGCACACTCATCCACCACAAACGGATAAGAAATCGCAGAACAAATACTTTCTGCCGGTCTCCAAGGTTAAGATGTTTTATCGTCAACCGGATTATAAGTAAATGACGTAATATTAATACTTATTTATGTACCCTTTAGATGTCCAGCTTCAATTCACTTAGTGTGATAATCAAGACATTAATATTCTTCCAAATATGTTCGAAAAATTTGGAACATTCTAGATGTTTTAATTTGAAGTATTTAACATTCTGTCCAGCATCTGATATGTATTTGTATTTAGGATGTCTTATATATGTGTGTATATCGATGTATCTAATGTAATGGTATAAGTAGTCAATAAGTCAAATGAGCTTCTTAATTCTGCAAACGATGTACTCATTTCTAATACATGAAAATCAGTACTAAGGAGTGATGCAGTATTAAGGAAAGTTTACTTTTGTTTTATTTTCTGTTCTCTTTTGTTAAAAGTTAACAATTTAATGGACTTGATATCTAGTCAATTGTCATTAAGTATGTAATCAATTTCAAAGTCTTTTGACTTATTTTTAAGATTAAAAGTAGAGATTTAAGGCTAAAATTTTGAGGATGGAATGTATTTGAAAATAGGTAAGTGAAATATGTGGTGCTATTGTTGAGATCAACTAATTGAATGTTGTTTGGATGTGATGAAAATAATCTAGTCGAAATTAATGAATTGTAAAATTAATCGAAAGTGCCACAGTTGCGATGGTTTTAAATGATTACTGTTAGTTTTTATCGTCAATTTATTTTGTTTTTACGGTGTGGGTGACGAACGCTTGTTGTGAATTACGGTTGAAATGGAACTCTAAAAAATCTATCTATTACAATAAATATGTACTTGGGTGTGCAATTCAATCATAGTATTAGCTCATTCAATATTTCAAATAAGTATCTGTATCCGTGTGAAGTAGTGATAACAGAATTCATCATTTGAATGATAATAGTGTGATGTTCAATTATTATAGGTGTTGTGTGGTAGAATTTTTTCCTTATTATTCAATTTAGCATAGTAAACGTTAGTAAAGTGCCATTCTTTATAAGCAGGAGTATTTGGTCTTCAAAAGCAGATAGTCTTTATAAATAGGGTCGTCATCTTCACCGGTTTGGTTTGATATGGTTCTGTCTCGGCCGTACATCCATGATAGGTAGGCCCGAAAGCGATGCCAGCGCTTAGGTGGATCCCTTCAACGAGTCTTAGACTCCTGATCTTGACTAGGACTCCTCAGTTTACGCGCCGACCGAGTTTGCACGTTCTTATCCCCTCTGAGGGTAAAATTTTAATGTTCCTAGGTCTTATCCACAATCCGCCGAAACGGGGGCGAACGTGGCGGAAAAGAGACCATTGGGTTGTTGCCCTGCATCGCCCACCACAAAGAGGAACATAAGAGTGCATTGCTTTGCATTGCATTGCGCACAGTGCTTGCAAAATATGTTGCTCTAAATGTCCGGGCTTGTAGGGCAAAATTATCGGGCCAATATTAAATCCTGCTTTTGCCCAGATGACGATTCTATCTATAAGAAAAAACAGATAATATTATTGCGTTTCTTAAATAATAATTACACGAATAGATGTATTTCAATTCTTGATGTTTCATATGATATCAGATCAGATAAGAATAAGAATAGATGTAGAATTTTGACCGATTTAATACATTAATCAATTATATAGTAATCTGAATGTAATAGTAGTATTGGGTTTCTTAAATGATAATTCCACAAATACTCATTTTCAAATTCTCGGTGTTGAGTACAATATTTGATAGGTGTTTAGTAGTAAATGTTATTTATTATTGTGTATTTTATAGATTTTTATTTCATCTTAATGCTGTTTATATATGGTAATATACTATTTTATATATTTTTATATTATTATTTGTTATATAAATTTTTGTTTGTCTTCACTTTAGTACAATTTTCTAAAATTACCAATTTGAAATGGACTTAATACGTTCCTACTGGATTTAAAGACTTTATTTTTATTAACATATTTGATTAAATTTGCATTCATAATGCTACACTGAAAAAAATTGCTTAAAAAACCTACCGAATGAAAATTCGTCAGTCCTCTTATGTCCTGGGTAGCTCAGTGGTAAGAGCAGTCGCCCGGATAGCGAAAGGTCATGGGTTCGTGTCCCATCTCAGAGTGCCAGGGACGGGGTGGATTTTTTAAGCATTTTAATTAAGAATATATTTTGATTGTTGACTTAATTTATGAGGGGTTTCAATCATATTAAATAATAGTTACAATATTACAATAGCAAATAACTACATTTATTGGTGTTTGTACTCCATATAACAGTAGATGATTGAATCGATGTTACATGTAATCATTATATTAAATTTCAGTGTAATCATTAAATTCATCGTAATCATTAAATCATTCTCGAGTGATTTTTTCAAACTCGTTCCCTAGTGAAAAATATATCACTTGTAGAGACTCTTGATTCTCTATAAAGTGTCGTCTAGTGGCGACAGAATCAACTCGATGCGCCGAGTTGACTCGATACTTACTGAGTATTTAACAATGGTATTTGTAGTGGGTAGTTTCACTTTTATTGCTTTATCCATGAAGGTAGATACCACTGATACTGATAACCTATTTTCAAACCTCTCTTGGTCTACCATTTTAGTACTAATTACAGACATTACTGAATACAGTGATAAATTTACATTAAAAAAAAAAATACGTGAAATTAATTTTCTTCAATAGCCATTCTAGCTTAATATACAAGTAAAACTCTTGTTAATATATCCTTATGTTTGAATTTCAGATATTTCTGTTGAATTCGGTGTTACACACAAAGGTAATAGAAGCCTTACAATCGACGGCTACAAATTTTCAATGAAAAAGTACAGAGGTTTACCAGCGTCTAAAGTCTGGTGGAGATGTTCCACGCATCACAGTAGGGGATGTATCGCAAGAGTATGCACCGTTGATGATGATATAATACTTTTGAATAACGACCACAATCATTAATCAGCAGCTTTATCGTATTATTTCTTTGACATGAACCAAAATACTTGGTATCGAAAGAAAAGTATCGAGTAAGTGCTTGTACTCGTATCGTTTCTTCCCTACACGAAGGAGCTGGAGATGATATATTTTTGGTCACCCTTGTGGCTGTTGCTTAATTTCCACATCACATCTAAATTTCTTAATATGAAAATAAGTACAATCAAATAAAACCTACTTCGATAGGTGACACAGGTTTATAATGAGGTACCCCGAGATACCCCGTACCACGAGATGGGATCTCAGGGTTACTGGATTTTTAATCATTTTTTATTAAAGACATTTATCAGCATGGCATTTTAGACAATAAAAAATTTTAGATAGCATTGTATTTGGCTGATTTTGACAGAATATAACTGTTGCGCAATATACAAAGTTTTATTTTCTATAATTATTTCGGATCTTGGTGAGCGTGGCACACAGCATCACGTCGGCTTACCACAATATATCAAGTTTCCACAGGTGATTTTGAAGTCTACTACCCCCAATGTTTTAAGAATTTTTTGTAGGATAGTTTTGTATATGATGTGCTGTTGACTGTACCTTTGTGGCTTCAGATTGTTCAGGTTCAATAACAAGAAGGCTTTAGCTACATAACTAGTGATCTGAGAAATATGTTGCGTAGTTATTGTACTTGGAAATATATACGTAATGAGGGGGTATTAATTTGTTTTAATCAATTTTTCTTTTTCCAGGTGTCTCTTACTCGATTTCCCGTCGTGGCACACGACTACTCCATTATGATGGCTATACCTTTGGCAGGAAATTCTCTAAACATTATAAGACTATTTGGAGGTGTTCCACACATAACTCGCGTGGTTGTATTGCTTTTATACATACTATAGGAGATGAAGTTGTTAAAATTGTCAATTCACATAATCACTAACTTGTGGTGTGGTAGTGATCTTCTCCCACAATTTTTGTACCTTCATGTATTTTTAGCGCATTTGTATACGTGACAATTGGGTGACAAAAGACGCCTGGCGGCAGCCAGTGACGTAGCTGTCAGTGTATCTATAGGTTTAAATCACCTTATGTAACAAAATCTTACTTTCTTTTTTTAATAATGAGCTTATGGAACAGGACAAGCCATGATGTGCGCGCATGGGCTTAAAGAATAATGATAATCTAGATATTACTTTGAATTATGATTAGTTGTCAATAAATCTATTTTGCAAGAAATTATTTCATTAATCTTTGTTTGTACTCACCAGTTCATTTATTTTTAAACTAGTGGACGCCCGCGACTTCGTCCGCGTGGAAGTCGGTATCCCGTGGGAGTGAGAAGTTTTCCCAGTAAAAAGTACCCTATGTGTTATTCTGATGTATAACCTATATTGCTGTAAAGTTTTATCCAAATCCGTCCAGTAGTTTTTTCGTGAAAGAGTAACAAACATCCATACATCCATACTTACAAACTTTCGCCTTTATAATATTAATAGGATGAAAATTAAATGTTTTAGTCATGAAATAGGAAAAGCCACTACGTGTGCGCATAGACCTATAGAATAATTATGTTCTTGTTATTAACATAGAAGTATGAGTGTTTGTCAATAAATCTATTTTGCAAGAAATTATTTCATTAATCTTTTTTGTACTCACGAGATCATTTCTTTTTAAATGAAAATGGTATATTATAAAAACTTACAATAATGACATATTACTATTATTAACGTATCTAAAATTAGATGCATATATAAAACTGGCTACTTTAACTTCCAGCTCGTTTCGGACGCTCAAGAAGAGGCAATCCTTTGCTCCTTTATAATGGCTTTACCTATTCTTGCAAGAAAACGAATTATGTGCAAAATGTGTATAACAAAAGACGGTGGCATTGTTCTACACATAATGGTAAAGGCTGTAGAGCTTCCGCATATACATTTGGCGAGACAATTTTCCAAATAAATACGGTGCATAATCACGACCCTATACATGATGAACATATGGATAACTAGATCTAATATATAACCAGCGGGCACCGTTCCCCGTTCGACAGGTTCCCTAGGTCCAGACAAGGTGTTCCAGGATAGTCTTCCACCAGTCTACCTAGATTCGATCAAGGAATCAAACTATCAGCAGCTCTCATGACGATCGGCTCTAGAGAACGAGTTGTCCCGCCCAACATGATTCCACGAAAATGTTTAATATATATGGTAATACAAGACGCTAGACCGAACACCACACCTGCATTCGCTTCTTTAACATTCTCAACTTCTGACAATATACCACATCCATACATCCATAATAAGTGATCAATGTTACTCAACTCTAGCTTCTATAAATATGTTAATATTGGACGAAGTACCGCATTGTTTATAAATAATTGCATCGACAAAATTGGTTTCTATTCAGCAAGTACCCTACATAAAATTATTTTAAAGCTTATTTGAAAATGGGCTTGGATAATAGATCTCCCATTATGGCTTGTCAATCGCAAATTTTTGAACTATATTGCTAAATATAAAAAAATAATCTTCAAATACCGATTGGATTTTGTATATAAATAACATGTAAAATATTACAACTAAAAAACAATATTTATTCTTCATGCAGTAGATTTTCTATCTACTGCATGAAGGTGTGAAATGGATCATTTAAATGGAAAATAGAATTGGTCCTCAATGACATCCCTGAGGAATTACTGAGGTATCGGAACGAATAGTACGACCGGTATTTCTTCAAGCAAACGATCTAACTCTTATTCCCTATGTTTTATATAGTTAGATGATTGGTTCATCCCCTAGCTGAGCATCAAAAATTTTCGACAAAAAATGACTAGATATTTTTTCTC